ACAATGAGATCTCATCCCCACCTGTTAGAATGGCTTTTATCAAACTGACAGGAGACAAGTGTTGGTGAGGATGTGGAGAAAAGGGCAGTCTCGTGCCCTGTGGTGGGATGAAATTGGTGCAGTCATTATGGAAAACAGTATGGAGAAGCCTCCAAAAAAATGAAAAATAGAACCACCATGTGATCTAACAGCCCCATTTCTGGGCATATGTCCAAAGGAAACGAAAACAGTATATGAAAGAGAGAGCTTCACCCTCACGTTTATAGCAGCGCCATTCACAATAGCCAGGGCATGGAAGCTATATGTGTCCACGGATGGATGCGTGGATAACAAAAATGGGGTGTGTACGCAGTGGATTATTATTCAGCCATAAACAAGAAGGAAATCCTGCCTTTTGTGATAACATGGGTGAAACTTGAGGGCATTGTGCTAAAAGAACTAAATCAAATACTATACAATTTCACTTATATGTGAACTCAGAAAAGTCCACATGGAAGAAAGACCTCGGAAACAGAGAATAGATTGGTGGGTGCCAGGGTGCAGTGGGGGGGGGATATCAGTGAAAGGGAACAGACCGTGAGATGTTAGCTAAGTTCTGAGATCTGACGTGTGTAGCGTGCTGGCGTAACAGCCCTGTGCTCCGTCGCTCACTCGTGTCCAACTCTTTTGCACCCCCATGGACTGTAGCCCACCAGGCTCCTCTGTCCATGGGGTTCTCCAGGCAGGAACACTGGAGCGGGTTGCCATGCCCTTCTGCAGGGGATCTTCTTGGGATAGAACTCACCTATCCCATGTCCCCTGCATTGCAGGAGGCTTTTGTCTTTAACCCATGAGCCACTGGGGAAGCCTTAACATTACTGGGTTATGTGCTTGAAAGCTGTTAAGAGAGTAGATGTTAAATGTTCCTACCAAAAAAGGGAATTTATGTGATGAGGTGAAGGTGTTAACTCACCTACTGTGATAATCATTTTACAGTATGTACGTGCGTCAAATCATCATACTGTCAGCTCTGAACTTACATGTGTTATCTGTCAATTACATCTCAGTTCAGTTCAGTCACTCAGTCGTGTCCGACTCTTTGCGACCCCATGAACCGCAGCACGCCAGTCCTCCCTGTCCATTACCAACTCCTGGAGTCTACCCAAACTCATGTCCATTGGGTCAGTGATGCCATCCAGCCATCTCATCCTCTGTCGTCCCCTTCTCCTCCTGCCCTCAATCTTTCCCAGCATCAGGGTCTTTTCCAATGAGTCACATCTCAAGGCCGGGAAGAAAGAGAGAAAGCTGAGGACCGCTTGTGGACATCGCGCCCGTGGGGCCTTTGTGGACCTCCCTAGGTCCCGTTGACCACTGCTGGCTCAGCGCAGACTGCCGAGGGGTTTTGTCCTCATGTGAGATTGGTCCGCTCCGCTCTCTAGGACCTTCCGGGGAGGGGGCACCCGCTCTGTGGCTGGCTAGGCACCTGCACTCAGGCCTGCTTGACCCGAGGCCAGGATGGTGAGTGGGGGGTCCTTCCTGGTAGGCGAGGGCAGTGCCTGGACCTTGGGCACAGAGGCGCAAGGGGCCAGGATGGGCCTCGACTGTGAGGAGAGTCGCTCTGTGTGGCTGACTCAGGCCAGTCCCTGTTTCCAGCGGAGGTTTGGGAACAGGCCATCCCTTCCAGACTCTCAGAACCATCAGGCACAGATCGCAGCCATAGTAAACCTCAGGTTGCCGACTTTCAGAGGCGTATAAACAGCCTTCAGGGAGCCCCCCTACCTCCACCCCCACCCCCTTGGAGTCTTTCATTTATTTATTCGGCAAGTCAAGGTTCAAGCCCTTGGTCTCGCATCAGAAAGCCACGAGAATGGAAATACTCTGTAACTCACTTGGCAGCAAAGCCAGACCCGATGACCTCACACGAGGCGACGCGGGCCTGTCTTTACCCCCTTGTTGTGGATACTGACGCCTCCCTGCGCCTGCCTCTGGGCTGCTCCTAAGGGTGGGGTGGGGGGTGGTGTGTGAGCTTCCTCACCTCCAGTCTGAAGCCCCCCGTCCCACCGTGTGTCCTGCCTGCAGCCTGGCCATCTCAGCTGGCGGGCATTTCATTTCCCCAGTGGGTTGTTCAGACCCTAAAGCCAGGGTCGTCCACCACGCCTCCTGTTTTTCTGACTGTCCCCCACTTCTGGTCGAGCCGGCACCCCCCACATGGCTGCACCCTGGGCACAGAAAGAGTCCTGCAGCCCCCGCCCACCCCGGGCACCCCCGGGCTGTGACAGTGCCTGTGGAATGGTCCCTTTGCTTCTGCCCCTCCCACTGGGGCCTGTTCTCATCCAAGTTGCTCGTGTTACTGCAGAGTGTGCGCGTACCATGGCCTCTGTGCTCGGGACAAACTCCAGGGGCCCTACCAAGTCCCAGGAGCCAGTCTGTCCTGCGCCCGCCTGTGCTTTTTTAGTGCATTTATTTTTGGCTGCCCGGGGCCTTCACTGCTGCCCATGTGGGCTTTCTCTACTTGCAGCGGGTGGGGGCTACTCTCTGGTTATGGCGCGTGGGCTTCTCACTGTGTTAGCTTCTCCTGTTGCAGAACAAGGGCTTTGGTAGTTGTGGCTGCTCCTCAGCACATGGGATCTTCTCAGACCAGGGGTCGAACCTGTGTCCCCTGCATCGGCAGGTGGCTTCTTAGCCCCTGGACCACCAGTGAAGTCCCCTGCATCTGCTCTTGAGCTCCAAGGATGGTTTTTATGGTTACAGAGTGCTTCGGGGGTGGGGGAGGGAGGAAGAATCAAAAGGAAAAGATTTTGGGACCCGCGGAAGTTCAGTGAAATTCACATCTCTGCGTCCAAGTGAGTCACAGCCACGTCATTTGCTTACATACCTTCCGTGACCGAGTTTAGACAATGGCGGCAGAGATGGAGACCTCTGTGACATCCTAGATGGTCTCCTGGCCTGGAAAACCAAAACTGTTTACTCTCTGGTGCCTGGCGGGAGAGGGCTACCAGCCTTGCTGCGGCCGGCCTGCACCCCCCACCCCCGCCCTGCCTGCAGCCAGGCCTCGGCTCCTCCCAATGCCGACCTCAGGACTGTGGCTCTGGCTGCGGCCTCTGCCTGGAGAGCTCCTCCTGGCGGGTTTCTCACTTCCTTCAAGTCCTTGCTGAGACCTCAGCCTGCTAGCTGCTCAGCGCCGCGTCCTCTCTCCAGCCTGCAGCCCTGCCGGTTCTCTTTTCCAGCTTGGTCGGCCATCCGACACTAATTTCAAATTTAAACTTGGTTCTCAACCTGTCCCACCACCACTGGACTATGAATTCCTCAGGACCCGGGGGTCTTTGTCTCTTTGGGCCCAAACACCGAGATCAGAAGGCCATTCGTTCTTGTAGTGTTCAGTCCGAATCCGTGGGAAGACTCACTGTAGAATAAGTGTTTGCAGTTTAGGTGCTCTGGGAGAGGTAGGTAAATGTTTGTGAGATACCTCTTCCCTTTGTGTATTAAAAAACAGCTTCTGCAAGTATGAAACTTTCAGTATTTTTTTTTTTGAAGAAGTAAAAAAGTATCTGACCATGTATGTGAGTATTTTCCTTCTCCACCAAGCCCTGCTTGTGTAGTAAATGTTTTGGTGGTGAAACATTTCATGGGGAAATAGTTCCCTAGAAATCTGGATGGTTAGTGAATTAGTTTTATCCCATTGTGTCAGAAAGGAGTGCTTTGGGCTGGTTGCCCACATGTAGGCCAGAGGTGGCTGTGTGTGGCCCCCTGCACACATGTCCAGCGGCACACGCGCCCAGGGGCACACACGTCCATCAGTGCACATGCTCTGGTCATCCCTGGCCGCCTGGTCCTGGCACTCAGGAGATACAAGCTCCCTGTCAGTGCTTATGCCCCAAGGTGAGTTTTCTGTTGCTTTTGGGAGGTTTGCTATTAATTGATTCTTTATCTATGAATTTAGATGAAGAAAAACTGTTTGAGATAATGGGGGGATCTTATTAAAATGTCTCAGATGATGCAATTCATTTGTTCATTTTGTTTTGCTTTTGAGATACATATGACCATTGCCTTAGGAACTGAGGAAACCTCCAGCTATAACTTGGCATCAGGAATAGAATTAAAAGCTGCTTTTTTAAAGGGAATCCCCTGTCAGTCCAGTGGTTAGGACTCCGCACTTTCACTGTCGAGGGTGTTGGTTCAGTTCCTGGTCAGAGATCCTGAGAGCCACGTACTGTGGCCAAAAAGCAAAGCAAAACAAAACAAAATCCAACCCACCCCAAACCCACATGTTTTAGTTCACATTTATCATTCCTCCTCCAACCAGCACGTATAAAGGTAATATTGCCTGTCACCTTATGCCATTTGTAAAATTTGGCTTTTGCTTGTACATGCATATTTCTTTTCTGGGTAATAATATTTAATAATAGTCATAATAAAAGTTAATAAGTGGGGCTAAATATTGAGTGCTGTCCGTGTTCTGTGCTGTGCATTGCATGTCCATCATCTTCATTAGTATCCTTATTAGTATCCTCATTTTACAGGGGAAAGTTGGGCTGAGGGAGTTGATAACTGTCCCAGGCCTGGACAGTTAATCCCTGGTGGTACTTGCCTCTTGTGACCTAATCCTAGCATCTGATCAGAACCTTTTTGTGCTTACCACTCAGCACTGCAGCCTTTGGCATCATATTATTTTTGTCACTGTTAGTTATTTTCTTCTTTCCGTGTTGCCAAATGAAGTGTGGATGTATAACAGGTGCAGCACTGATGATCGAGACGCCCTAAGGGAAAAACATAAGGAAGGCAGCTTTTAAGACACATAAGCACACTTACAAAAGGCCAAAATTTTTAGACTTCTTTTGCATCAGAAACTGGGAGTCGCGGAAACGCCGCTTTCTAAAAATTGCCAGCTCTGCCCCGTCAGCGCGTTTTTGTTGTGTAACATTTCTTCTCAACCAGCAATTAGTCAGTGACCCTCGAGTTCCAGCCAGAGATCCGAGGAGCGCAGAGGAAGCCGTGCACACCCTCCATGGCCTCATGTCACCATGCTCACGGCCGTGTCTCCTTCCTCCAGCAGCTTCAGCCCCGTGGTTCGCGGAGTCCCACCAAAACACCGCAGGCACAGAGAGGTGCTTGCCAGCTGGAATTCTGGTTTTTTCCTTTCTACTCATAAAGATTTTCTAGACTTCCTCTGATAAGCATGCGTTTTATAATGGAAACAATAAAGCAACTGTGTTTGTCTGTCTGGAGAGAAGAATTCTTTGGATGCTAGTACGTATGGATCATTGATTACCAAGACTGGCTGTTTTCCAGGTGTGAGTTGAGGCGTCCGCTGCGGCCAGGTGCCTTCTTGCCATCTGTCGTACTTGGCATTCCTGTTTAGACGTGTGTGCCACTGCCCCCCCAATGGCCATTTTTAACCGCTTGGCGAATCTGGTGCAGGTGAGGAGGGTGGCGAGAGGGCTGTGTTCTCCGCTAGACGGCTGAGATCCAATGGGTCAGCTTTTAATGAAAGCCAAATTGGTTTTCACAAGGTGAACGTCATTTCCCCACCGTCTGCTCCTGGGTTTTGGGAGGGCTGGCAAGACAGTGTGACTGATGGGGAGATTGCTCTCCACCATTCAGAGACCAGGTCCTGCTTCAATTAAACAGTCACGAGGGCTTGTGTTCTCAACATTCTGGGTGAACCTTGTCCCAGAGACGATATTGGGGCATCACGGCAGATCATGCACGTTGCTGAAGGAATCACACATCAATCCTGGGAGAATAATGGCAGACGCCCTTACTGATGCGTGGAGCTGCAAAGCAAGGAGCAGCATCTCTTATAAATTATCCTTGTTTATAAACCTATTTCACATGCATTATATCATTCACCCAGTGAGGCTGGGAGGTGGGAAGAATGGGTGGTGTTCAGTTCTTGTTTCCATCCTGGGGAAAACAGGGTCAGGGGATGAGGGGCTTTCCCCAAGTCCCCGGGGAGCAGAGTTGGGACCAACATGGTTGAGTTCCAGTGTCTCTAAGGCCAGAGCCGCCTCTCCCTGAGCCCAGGCTGTTCCCAGAAGCAAGCAGGGGCGTGTCTCAGGTGGGAAACGGGAGATTTTACAGAAGACCAAAACACGATGTAGCCAAATGGTCCTTGGGTTCCAGTCATTCCGCTGTCATCTGGAAACAGTGTGCTTGGATTACCTTTACCTTCTTATTCATGAATTCTAGCTAATTAAAAAAAAATGTTTATGTGTTTATTTGTGGTCATACTGGCCAATATGTGGAATCTTGGTTCTCCCACCAGGGATGGAACCTGAACCACCTGCTTTGGAAGGCGGATTCTCACCCACTGAACCACCAGGGAGCTCCTGAATTCTAGCTAATTATGTGGAAATTCGGCTACTGTTAGATGGAATCATTGTCTCCCTTTAGTGCTGTCTGCAGGAATCAGAGGGCGCAGGAGCCCAGGGCAAGAGGAGGGTATTCTGCGTGTTGGGGGGATTGGCTGGGAGCCTGAAAGCCTAGCTCTGCCCTCTTGGGGGGATTGAGTGTTGTTCTAGAGCCCCTCTCAGCCTGTGCTTCTTCCACCCAAAGGTGCTGGACTCCGAACCTTGTGCGGCCCCCTGCCCACTGCAGGGGACGGATTGGGAGTCTCCCCCAAACTCTCTCAAGCTCCGGGCATCTTCCTGGAGATGGGGCGGCAGAGAGGAGATTCTTGCTGCCAGAAGCTTGGATTCCCAGGCTCCAAGACAGCTGTGGTGGGAACATTCTTTGAGGGTTTGTTAGGGTTTTAGAATTTTTTAAGGGATAGATGATATCTCAATGTTGTGTTCCACCAAAACAAATATTGTTCTTTTGAAAATATGTTAGACACAAAAATGCACCCGGAACTGCTGAGCCTGACTTAGAAATGCACGCGTGAGCCCCGCTGTGTCCCGGCCACAGGGCAGCCCGTGACTTCCCAGCCCCGTGCTTCGTGCTCTGTGGGGGGGTGGGCGGGGGCCGTGCGGGGGGTGGGGGGCTAGACTCTGCCTCCTGACCCAGACTCTGCCTCTTAGCTTTTTCAGAGCCGACTTGCCTGGCACGGCCGCTCCCTGAATCTCACTGGGTTACCCCTCTGCCTGGCCTCCATCCACGTCCATGCTTGTCGTCACAGGGAAGAATCGCTGGCCCGGGGCAGGCAGACAGCTGCAGTCAAAGCCGGCCGGCTGTATTCTGTAAATTTCCAAGGCGTGTGCTTTCTGGCTCCCCTTTGTAACCTGGCTTGGGAAAGAACCCTGCCGGTCGGAGTTCCCAGCTGAGAGCGCTTGGCGAGGAGTCTGTGGGGTGTGGTTCCTTGAAAAGTGGAGCCATCCCAGGCCGGGGCACCGGGGGTGCTCAGCTTGGGGGCGGGGCGGAGCCTGGCCAGGCCCTGGGCGCCCCTGGAGGCAGCAGGCTTGCCAGGTCTCCTGTGTCTCCCCATCTGTCTGAGCGGGGAGTAGGGGAGCCAGAATGGTCAGTTGCAGGGTCAGGTGGCTCCTCCAGGACCACTGACCCCAAAACAGTGGCGCCCGACAGGAATGGGGGTCTGCTCGTTTCCTGACCTTCCGCTGCTCCCAGCTGCGGAGTAGCAGATTGCCGTCTCTGGACTGGGAGAGGCAATTTTCAGAGGGCTGGGAGGAGCAGTTTTCCATGACAGGCATCCAGTGCGGGGCCTTGAGGTCAGCGTGTTGGAAGCCTGTGTGCATGCTCAGTCGCTTCAGTCGTGTCTGACTCTGCGACCCCATGGACTGTAGCCCGCCAGGCTCTCTCTGTCCATGGGATTCTCCAGGCAAGGATACTGCAGTGGGCTGCCATGCCCTCCTCCAGGGGATCTTCCCAACCCAGGGATCGAACCAGCATCTTTTATGTCTGCTGCGTTGCCGGGTAGGTGCTTTACCACTAGAGCCACCTGGAAAGCCCTGGAAGCCTTGTAGGAGCAGGGTCAAGAGTGAAGGCGATGTTGGAATGTAAGGGAAGGTTTGATGTAGCATCACCCACCCTGGGTCACGCACCCTCTCCCTTTCTCTTTATTTTCCAGGTGCCCCCTGCTGACTCACATGCTAGTCATCACAGCAGTAGCAGCAGCAGTTGTAGCTGGTGATTAATGGTGGTAATAATGATGATAAAAAGGGGATAATAGAAACTAAAGAACAGACTCACTGGAAAAGACCCTGCCTGATGCTGGGAAAGAGTGAGGGCAGGAGGAGAAGGGGACGACAGAGGATGAGGTGGTTGGATGGCATCACCAGCTCAATGCACATGCATTTGAGCAAGCTCTGGGAGAGGGTGGTGGACAGGGAGACCTGCTGTGCTGTAGTCCATGGGGCTGCAAAGAGTCGGCTACGACTGAGCGACTGAACAACAAAAGAGCAAACTTAGGAGCCGGTAGAAAAGGGAAGCAGGGCTTAAATTCTGCACCGTAGGTAGTTTTGCACAGAGCTGTGTCATTTCGAAGGATGCTTATTACTGAGGGCTTTGTGGTTTCCTTCCTCCTTTTTTGTCTTGTTTTTGGTGGTTTTCTGTCTTGATGTGTGGGGAAGAGTTTGTGGCCAGGTGCTGTGAAGCAGCTCTCTGAGCACTTTTTCTTGAGCCCTGATTTTAATCGTAAGATCAGCTGTGGGGAGCCCACCCGTGGGAGAAAGCAGTGAGGTTGTGTTCCCAGCAGGAGCATGGGGGCCCTGAAGTGATGGGGCCAGGGGGATGAAGACAGAGGGAAGGAGACCTGGGGAGGCAGCTGGAAGCCCTCGGGGGCCACCTGGGACAACATTGTTTGAGATTTGTTGTCGTTCAGTCACTTAAGTTGCGTCCAACCCTCTGCGACCCCATGGAGTGCAGCACGCCAGGCTTCCCTGTTCTTCACCGTCTCTTGGAGCTTTGCTCAGACTCATGTCCATCGAGTCAGTGATGTTGTTGTTTAATTGCTTGGTGGTATCTGGCTCTTCGCCGTCCCATGGACTGAAGCCCCCCAGGCTCCTCTGTCCATGGGATTCTCCAGGCAGGAATACTGGAGTGGGCTGCCATGCCTTTCTCCCGGGGATCTTCCTGACCCAGGGATCAAACCCATGTCTCTTGAATCTCCTGCATTGGCAGGCATATTCTTCACCATTGCGCCACCTGGGGGGGTTTCCTCATTGATAAGCTGGAGATTGAGCTCGTTAAGAACAAACAAATAGTTGTATACCCATTGGTTGTTATTCATTTGCTGAGTCATGTCCAGCTCTTTGCAACCCCATGGAATACAGCAATCAGGCTCCTCTGTCCTGTACTGTCTCCCAGCGTTTGTTCAAACTCATATTCATGAGTCAGTGATGCTGTCCAACCGTCTCATCCTCTGCTGCAGGTAGAATAAAACATACAATCTGGAGTTCCTGCTAAAATTGGAGCTTGGCATAAGAATCTTCATTTCTTTAAAAAGTATTTATCAGTCGTAAACATGATCTGAATTTCATGCCTCTGTGGGAGCTGCCACATAAATATGTTTACACTTGGGACAGAGAAATGCTTCCATCTCCCTGTCGCAGTTTCAGACCACATAGTCCCTGGGTCTTCAGGGGCTGAAACCACCTCTCAGGCCATCGGTTAGGGGCCCCAGACTCCCCTGCAAAACGTTCTCTGTCAGGGTGATGTCGATCGCTATGTGAAGTTACTCTGCTCTGCAGCCTGCGGTCTCGCTGGAGTGCTATCAGACGTGCTTTATTTTCTAATCGTAATTCGAACGCCGTTGCAGGATTTTTTTTTTCCCAGTTGCTCGTGGTTTCAGGCTTTCCTCAGCGAAGCCTGTGTCTGCTGCTCAAGCGCCTATGGGGCGGGTTTGCTGTGCCGGAGGGGGCGCTGGGCGGGTGTCATCCCAGCACTCCTGTCCTCCCGCCTGGCAGGCCTTCGGGGTGCTCGATGATGGATTGCACCCTTCACCGGGCTCGAGCCAGTGCCGCTGGATGGGGCCCGTGTGGAGCGAGGGTCCAGATGTGCCTGCCCTGCAGCTGTCTCATGTGCATCATCAGGGGGCCAGGGCTGCAGTGAATAATTTAAGCCAGCCCGGCTCCTGCCCCCAGTAATGAGGTCTCAGGGGTGACGCCGTGGGGGCCTGGACCATCCAGACGATCTCCGGATTGGTCTTTGCCTTCGTGCTTATTCAGGCCGACAGAGACACGCTTCACAGCCTGTCACCCGAGGGAAGGAGCGAGGTGGCCCCGTGTGGGTTTCCCAGCCAACTCCTGCATGCGAGCGTGCTAAGTTGCTTTAGTCGTGGGCGTCTCTTTGTGACCCCATGCACTGTAGCCCGCCAGGCTCTTCTGTCCATGGGGATTCTCCAGGGAGGAATACTGGAGTGGGTTGCGGTGCCCTCCTGCAGGGGAATCTTCCCGACCCAGGGATCGAACCTGGGTCTCTTACGTCTCCTGCATTGGCAGGCGGGTTCTTTACCACTGGAGCCACTTGGGAAGCCCCTTTGACTCCTGAGAACCTGCCAGCCCATGAAATGGGTGTAACAGGAGCCGTGTTCAGATGGGACAGAGTTTGGGGGTGTCAGCAGTGTATCCGTGGTTGGTTGGGGGTGTGGTGGCGGTTCTCTGTGCCGTGGACAGAGAGCCGGGCTGGGGGGGGTCCTGCCTCAGGTGTACCCGTGCCCGCCCATGTTGCTTCTCTCTCAGGTTCGTCCTCCCAGCTGGTGCCTTGGCCTTGTGGGCATGTGTGCCCACCTTTCTGGATTCCAGCTTCTGCGTCTACATGAAACTCCTAGTCTGGGTTGTCTGGGTGCCCTTTCATCTTTTAGATGTCCTGCTCACTTCTCATGATTTCAGTTCGGTTTCAGTTCAGTCACTCAGTCGTGTCTGACTCTTTGCGACCCCATGGACTGCAGCATGCCAGGCCTCCACGTTCATCACCAACTCCTGGAGTTTACTCAAACCCATGTCCATTGAGTCGGTGATGCCATCCAACCATCTCACCCTCTGTCATCCCCTTCTCCTCCCACCTTCAATCTTTCCTAGCATCAGGGTCTTTTCCAATGAGTCAGTTCTTCACATCAGGTGGCCAAAGTATTGGAGTTTCAGCTGCAGCATCAGTCCTTCCAGTGACTATCCAGGACTGAGCTCCTTTAGGATGGACTGGTTGGACCTCCTTGCAGTCCAAGGGACTCTCAGGAGTCTCCTCCAGCACCACAGTTCAGAAGCATCAGTTCTTCGGCGCTCTGCCCTCTTCACCGTCCCTGGGTGCGCTTTCGTCTTTTAGGCGTCCTGCTCACTCTTCACAATGAGGGGCATTTTTGTGGATGGGTAGGTACATGGGTGCTCTGTTGCCCAAGGTGAGCAAATAAGTATACGTTGTGTAGAAATAGTTTGCATTTAATGCTCTTCATGTGAGTTTTTGAAGCAGACAGTCTTAGGGATATAAGTACCTTAATAATTTGGCAAGTTTACAGTATAACAAGTTCTGCCTTGTAATCTAAACTTGTTTAATGCCTATGTCAGGAGCCCAGTCTCCCCAAAACGTTCAGCTTCTGTTAATGACATGTATTACATCTGTTTAGAAACCCTGGATTCAGGAACTAGCAGAACACCCTATTCCCCTGAAAAAGAGAAAGGCTAGGGAAAGGATTTTTAGCTCAACCCTATTCTTGTCCATGGGATTCCCAGGTGGTGCTAGCGGTAAAGAATCTGCCTGCAGTGCATGGAATGTGAGAGACTTGGGTTTGATGCCTGGGTCAGGAAGATCCCCTAGGGGAAGAAATGGCGACCCATTCCAGCATTCTTGCTGGGAGAATTTCATGGACAGAGGAGCCTGGTGGGATACAGTCCATGGGGTTGCAAAAGAGCTGGACGTGACTGAGCGACGGAGCGCATACTACAGGATGGCGAAGAGCCAGACTCGGCTGAGCATCTGAGCACGGCACTTGGGTGTTTCCTTTGTCAAGGGGGAGAAAAGGCTGCTTGAAAAGAGGAGCATGCATCTCATGTAAATAGAGCTACTTTATTGCATTTTACTCCAGGTAATCTACTGATAAAGGCAGTCTTTAAAATAAATGGGTAATTATTTCAAAATATTCCTTTGTGAATGTGCCTAATTGGTGCAGCCCTCCCCATAGAACCTGCCAGTCCACCGGCAGTTTGGAGGAAGGGCTGTAATTAACAGTGAATTAGCATATTGCAGCGTGGTGTGGACCACGGGTGTCCTCGCCCATCTGCTGTATGGGGAGCCAGGGTGACACCTGGCTGGCAGCCGCCTGTAAGACTTCTCTGTTGTTTAGGAACGTATGGCCGTGTCAAAAATCTTTCTTCCTACAGTTAAAATTGTAGACACTCGCCCCTATACCCACAACATATAGGGACACACACCAGTACCCTGCTAAATGGTCACGAGAGCGCCTAAATGTTCTGCGTTCACGTCTGTTCATTTATTCATTCACCAGATATTCATGGAGCATCTGTGAATGTGCTCGGCACCCTGTGGGTGCTGGTGAGCTAAGGCACGAGGTCTTTAGCCTCAGGCAGGTGCTTGGAGACTTAGAAGGGAAGGTGGGGTGGGGGTCAGAGTCACCCCCATGACCACGTGGTTTGGTGAGATGAGTGCTGCTCTGAGGGGAGGTGGATGGTGCAGGGGTGAGGTGGGGGGGGTGGGGAACCAGGCCAGCAGCGGGGTCAGGAGAGGGTTTCTGAGGATGGCGGGGGGTGACCCAGCTTAAGAAGCTGCTGCTCCTCTTTCAGTCTCTGAGGGGGCATGAGTGCACGTCTTCCAGGTGGGGGCAGCGTGTGTGAAGGCCCTGTGCAGGAGGGTGTATTTGAGGAGGTGGAAGAAGTCCCTTGCAGCTTCGTGGTGGTGCAAGACGCGTGGGGCAGGTTACCGAGTTGCTCTTTAGAAAGCCTGTGAAGTCATCGGAGGTTTCTGGTGTAAAGTCCTCATCAGTTTCACTTAACGTGGGGAGCACCCAGGGTCCCTAGGTGTGTCCTCCCCACGGCCCCACCCTGCACCCGCAGGCAGCCTGGGGTCGGATCTGGGGCAGCTGCTCACGGCCACGTGGTTGGGGAGGAGGTTGGAGCCACACCCTCAGCCTTTCCTGTGAGTCCTTTATGTGATGTGGAAGCAGACGTTGGGTGCTGTCCTTTCCCGTTTTCTTTGCCTCTGCAGAATAATGTTAACTGCAAAGCTGTCTCTACATGGAGCGCTTGCCAAATGTGATATTCCTACAGCTGATTCAGTTCTTCCAGCCGCCTGCAGCCAGTGAACCTCTGCCCGGGGGTGGTGCGCCCACGGGAGGAATTCCCGGCCAGCTGAGTGCCTTCTCTGTTGGATTGTCTCTCTGCTCCTAAAACGCAAGCGAGGGGAGCTCTTCCGTGAAGAGTGGGAGGGGGTGACGCCCTGTGTTTCCTCATGTGGTCGAAGGCGGGTGTTGTCACCTCCAGGGACTGGCAGTGGAGAGCCACGTCCCTGACTCTGCTCCGTCACCCAGGGTCCCGGGCCTGGGGGTCAGAGAACTGGACTTCACAGGACATCTGACCACGGCATCCCTCATCTTTCTGCTCCGCCTGTACACTCCTGACTGGCCCACCGAGGAGTTTGCCAGTATTGTTAAAACTGGAATGATCTAAAATGACCTAAAACTGGAACAATCCCATTCTTTACTCACAGCCTGATATTTTTTTTTTTTCAAAGCATTATCTCTCTAGTGTTTCTAGGCAGAGCACTTATTACATTTTGCCTGAATTTATCTGTAAGCTTGGGTCAGATGTACATTTGGCATTGCTCTCATCTCTGAGCCATTGTAGCCTACTTTTTATGCCAAGAGAAAGTATTTTAAGCCAGTGGGGTCAGCTCTCCTCGGGTCTCCTGACTTCACAGGATAACTATGCATCCTGCCTCTCTTGGGGAGCTGGGCTATTATGAAACTAGGTCAAATGATTGTTTTTCTCTTTCTGCCTATAGCCATTCCAAAGACAGAATCCTTTCCTCCAAAACAGGTCTTGAAAGTCATATATTCTTGGGATGGCCATCAAAGGCAGAAAATAAAAAAAGGAAGTTTGCCTTGATAACATCTGAATAAGTGAACAACTGAACATCATAGACACTTTAAGCAAATAATAAAGTCAAATAAAAAACTGGGAAAATACTTACAACATATGGCAGAGGATTATCTTCCATATGTAAAGAGTTGTTATAAAACAATAAGAAAAGCAAATTCCTCAACAAAAGGAGCAGGCACAGGTTCATAAAAAGAAATAAAGGGGCAAATAATATATACATATATTTAGCTGCATTACTTAAAGAACATTAACTGGGTGAGGTGTTTTTAATCTAGTTAGTTCAGTTCAGTCGCTCAGTCGTGACTGACTCTTTGTGGCCCCATGGACTGCAGCACGCCAGGCCTCCCTGTCCATCACCAACTCCCGCAGTTTACGCAAACTCACGGCCATTGAGTCAGTGATGCCATACAACCACCTCATCCTCTAGTTAATCTAGTTAAGTGTAGTCTTAAAAACAAAGACCCCATATTGGCTAAGGTATATGGAAATGGGTCCTCCTCTTAGTCCATTCCAACTGCTGTAACAAACTACTCCATACTGGATGGCTTATAAATAAGAACAATTTTTAGCTCGTGTTTCTGGAGGGTGGAATTCTGAGATCTGGGTGCCAGCATGCTGAGCTGAAGGCTGTCTGCTGAGTCCTTGAATTCTCCTTATGTCCTCATGTGGCTGAAGGGGACAGAGTAGCTTTCTGGGGTCTCTCTTACAAGGGTGCTGACCCCATTCATGAGGTCTCCACCCTCCCAAAGGCCCCGCCTCCTGGTACCATCACCTTGGTGGGGGGTCAGTTTTAACCTGTGAGTTTTGAGGGGGACATTCAGACCGTAGGATTTCCATTTTACATGAGTGGAAGGAATGAATGTGTGTTGGGACAGCCCTTCTGGAAAAAAAATTGACAGAAGGGAATAAAAGCCTTAGCGAGGTATGTGGCCTTTGACCTAGCATTTTCCACTTCTGCCTACCAACCCTTAACCCTTTTGCCAGTTTGGCTCAATACACGAAGCAGCCCTGTGAGACTATGGAAAACCTCACCCCGCTCC